AATTTGCTATTTTATCATTTAATTGCTGTCTGTCCTTTTTATTTTTCTAACTGCATGCCACTTTTTCAAGCCATTTTGTCTCATTGAATTAATGGACACTTTTCAGTGGGGTTTCCGGGATGAGGGGAGGAAGAGAGCTTGCTCAGGTCTGGTTCCTGGATATTAGAAAAGACAGAACCATCCTGGAAGTTGAACTTGACCAGATCTGCAGCCGTATGATAGCTGCTTTGTTTGTGGAAATGGCAGCTATGGAACTTTTGTCAATTTGATGAAGGAGGTTGATGTAATTTAATGAATTATTCATGTCTGTGGTCTGTTATCAGTTTACTTTTATTGATGTAACTAAGAAAGATAAGATATAATATTTAGTAATAACATTACATATAAAAATCATATTTATATATGGTTTTAAAGGTTCTGGAATGAATAATCAAGTGGCTTAAAAAAAGTATATGTTCATACAGTAGGTGGTTTATGCCTATGAGAGTCTTTTGACTTAAGTTCATGATGCAAAGGGTCTCTTTGGCATGGAAGTTCCTTGGCGTCATCGAAATAAATATATCCTAAGACACAAGTGAAATCATATTTTATATGTAAAATATGCACATTTTTAAAAATTCTCCACCGACTATACTTCAGAGGCCCAATGCGATAGTGATATTGAAACATTTGGTATCAAAGTGTACATATTTAGGGTAAAAAAAAAAATCTACTAACATTGGTTTTTATTTTAAAAAATACAACAACATTCCCCTTTTCATGATAATTGGTGTAAAATATGCAATTGTTTATTTAAAAAATGCATGCCAAAAACAGAGAAGTCTATTTACAACGATATATCCATCCATCTTCCTCTGCTTATCTGGAGTGTGGTCACAAGTGCAGACGTCCCTTTCCCCAGCCAATTCTTCCAGTTTTTCTCGGGGCTTCAGAAGTCATTCCCAGGCAAACTGGGAGACATACAGAATAGTTTCTCCAGTGTTCCATCTCAGTGGAACGTGTCTGGAAGCCTCCCCAAGAGGCATCCTAACCAGATGGCTGTGCCACCCCATCTGGCTTGTCACGATGTTGAAGAGCAGCTATACTCTGAGCCCCTCCTGGATGCCCAAGCTTCTGACCCTGTGAAAGAAACTAATTTAAGACGCTTGTTTAGGTGATGGGTGGCCCGGTAGTCGACTGGTTAGTGCGTCGGCCTCACAGTGCAGAGGTGCAGTCGGCCTCACAGTGCAGAGGTGCAGCGTTGGATTCCGGCTCTGGCCTTCCTGTGTGGAGTTTTGCATGTTCACCCCGTGCCTGCGTGGGTTTCTTTCAATGTTCATTCATTTTAAAAACCCACTATCGATTTCAGATTTTGGCAAACAAATATGTTCTATCATATCAAAGTACTTAAATATAATCATAGGTCGAGTAATCGTTCAATATATTCCATGGGTTGCGCCTCACCTTACAGGACGCTGAGATGTTTCGCAGCCATCTTTCTGCTGTGGCTATACCCGAAGGCGATAAATCACCCGATCCAAAATTGCTGGATCTAACTAAAGCATGTGTCACATATGCAATGAACTTACTTTGTCATTTAAGGAAATACTAGAAGTCGTTTGTGATCGCATTTTGCTTGCACATCTGATGAAGAAATTGATGATTAGCTTGCAAAGGGTGGACTCTCGGAGGCACTGTAGTGTGCGTGCTTCAAAATGAACTCGCTACTTTCATTGCATTTTATAAACTCACCACAAGATGGCATTAAAAATTTAAAAAAAAAATACACACCGTCTCTAACGAGTGATTTGTATAATAAAGCTCATTATTTACGAGTAAATTGTAACAAACATAACTAGTTAATTGCAAAATAGTCGTAATAAAGTTAACTAGTCCTTAGATAGCCAGTGATAATGAAGCTAACGAATGAACTAGGTGGTTATTAGTTACATAATGTTAAAAAAAATATATATAGAAACTTCCAAGTGTTTACCTGTCATCTCTGACAACCGCACCGGCCACGGCTTACTTAGCCCCTGCATCGAATGGAATGTGTTGTTGTGGGAACTGATTGAAAAAAGGCTGCACGTTACTGGTCGAAATCTCATGCTACCTTGGATGACTAATATAGTGCTGCACTACTCAAAAGAGAAAATGTTAACATTTTTCAAGGAAAAGATAAGTAAAGTCACCAGATGATAGGATTCTCTATGTCAAATGTACATAACTGTAGTTCCACAGTGTCCAATTTTGTATTGAAGGCATGGTGAGTTAATTTGATTATTTACAGTCGAACCTCTTTTCAATGTACCCCGTTTACAATGTTTCCACACCACCTCAAATAGCGCAGTGAGAAACCATGATATCAGAAAGCTTAATAGTTTGAATGTGTACATGATTTGGGTGAATGTGTCAAGGACAGGCCCAAGGAGAGAAACCTAAATAGGGGGACTGGAAAGCCTTTTCAGCACTGTTGCGTTTACACCGAACATGAAATGTGTCATTGCTGTATTATGTTACAGTGCTAAAAACAAATAAAACAAACAACAACAAAAAAATCCTTACAATCTTTCAGGGTTTTTTTTTTTTTTTTATTCTAGTTTCCGCGGCAAACCACATTTTGATTTTGTTGATCAATGTAAAGCTTTTAATTGAGACATGCTAGTGAAGCAAAGCAAAACATTTTGGATAACTAAAGGTTGTATAAAAAGAAAGTAAAAACCAACACAAGAGTTTATTTTAGCTTACTTTAGCATAGTTCTTTTTCCTGATTTTACTCATCTCATTTCGCTTCTGTCTTCTGCATTGAAAAAATTCGTGACACCTGAGAAGTGTGAAATATGTATTTCAATCTGTATTGTTACGAAGTCCTATCTTCCGAGGAGGGGGGTCGGGGGTGATCGGAACCGTCTCCTGCTCTCCTGGTCCTCTGCCTATTTTCCCCCACAGAATACTTGAGACCACGTGTGGCAGATTTGGCTAAACGGTGTCCACCACATTCAAAAAGTGCAAGTTCTGGATCAGTCTTCCACTTCCTTTTTGGACCAGCAGCTGCAGCCACCATTTGTTTTCCTGACATGGTTTTCTTCTTGCCTTTTTTCAGCACACAGCACATACAACAAAACACATAGCATAAGTTACATGTACACTGACACTATATTTTTGGCCTCGGTTACCAGTGGTAAAATAAAAGCATTTTGAATTGGTCCATCTGCGTGATCTCCCATTGTTGTTGTCTAGCTTTTGAACCAGGCTGGTCATAACAGTATTTATAGATACTTTTTGGGGGAGGGGTGGGACTGTGTACAGCGGTGGTCAAAGTGCAGAGCAGTGACGTCAAACACTACACCTGCTGGATGACACCTCCATTCGGATGAGGTCGCTACAGCAACCTGTCAGATGGCTCAATAACGTGGCCCAGTCTGAACAGGGCCAGATCCCATTTGACACTTGTAAAAAAAAACAATGTGGACAGTTAGCCCTAAAAATCCGATTTGAGGAGGAATCTGATTGGAAACAAATATGCCTGCAGTCTGAACACAGCCAAAACATAGTGTAGTCTTCCTTGACTCATGCCTTGTGGTAAAAATCAAACAAAGCTGTTTGAAAGTTCTGATAAATTCATTTAAAGTGCAATGAATCGTGAGCTGCAAAGCACTTTGTGTTATGTAACACAACTGTATGTACAATTTCCTGAGGGATGAGTCTCAGTCTATTGCAGGGTGGGGGGGGGGGGGCTGCAGGCAAACAAAGAGAGCTCTTAAAAGGCTAAGGGCAAGAAATCAGTTCTAAAACAGGAAGCAAAAGGTACTGTAAAAAGGAAGGACGTTCAAGTGACTAATGGTGTACACATTGAGCCTGGCAACAGCAGGAAGCACAATTCACTTCAGGCCTTTTCTCCATAATGCATCATAAGGCTAAATGACATGCAGTAAACATACGTTGATGTTTTTTTTTCCCCAAAAATTGTATGGGTGCTGTCCAAAAAACTATTGTATCTTACTAAGCTGATGTTTTCCTCAAGGGTAAGGGCAGGTTTGGGTATTTCAAGAAAGAAGCTCTTAGGTCGAACAAATGCAGTACATTGCACAGAATGCTCATGTACTGTAAATAAAAAGCCATATTTTCCCAGTCCTGGCTGTATTGTGTGCTGTCCTTTTTGGAACAGGCCTGCATGCTAGTCATGTGGTTCTTGGGGACCAAAGACACTATAGAAAACAAATAACAATGACTACACTTTTGGAAACTGATCGTCAAACAAACAAGGAGACAGATGCGAACTTGCAAAAGAATAGAATTGAGAGAGAGAGAGAGAGAGAGAGAGAGAGAGAGAGAGAGAGAGAGAGAGAGAGAGAGAGAGAGAGAGAGAGAGAGAGAGAAAACCTGAACTACTTGGGTGGAATAAACAAGACTCTCGAATATGCAAACATGGCTTGGAAAAGGCCCAAGATCACGCACGGGCAAAGAATATTTTTCAGCGACTACAGAAGATCCCTCTACACAGTGAGGTCGATGCGCTAACCACTTGATCACCTGGGCGCCTTGGCTTAAACAAAAATCAGAAAATGAATATGTAATTAATGAAATAGAATGATTTATGTTAGACTTAATTTTTGTTTTCATTGATGCATGTGGCAGTTTAATTATTTGGCTTTTATGCATTACGATTACTGTTTCAGTTGGCAGCTGGGTTATTTGG